ACTGTCCTTCCTTATAAGCAGGATAAATGGGAGACCAAAAGTGCAATACCAAGTTTATGGCTGTAAACATGTATTTAAAGCGTTGTTTTTTTCAGTCTAGGTTGTGATGAAGAAATGTAAGCATGTTGAGATTTTCAGGACTTAATCTTGACCGCTGAGGTGAGAGAATGTGTCCACTTGTACAATGAACAAATAAAAAAATAAGAAAATAATAAATAATGTGTCAAAGTCCAAATAAACATGGTGCAAATCCTCAGTAAAAAAATAGATATAAATATTTACTATACTATAACTAGGTACATAACGAAACTAGATTCAATATGGAACATCCTTAGGTTTTATGTGCCAGCATGGATATGGTTGTCTGTGGATATGGATTTGGATATGGTTGTCTGCAATGCAGACAAACAGCTGCACCTTCATTTGCGTCTTTTGAAAACAGCAAGAGCAGCAGTTCGTCTTTGCTGTGTCACTGTTTTGTCATGTTTATGTGCTGCTGTGCATGCAAAAGTACTTAGTATGAGAATTATTTCATGCAAACCTTTTTTTTTTTGCGTATTTAGCCGCGCATAAATGTATGCCTATCTCTCATTCCGTGTTGTTCAAAAAGCTCAGTGTTGGTCCACAAACAAAAGCAAAACCTATGCTTATTGGTTGTGATATAGCGAGTTTGAACCAATCTGGGCATGGAGGAGGGACAATGCATCAATGTATCATGTCTGGTTTGTCCGGAGACACAGTGACGAGCGTTTCTTCCGCGAATGTTATGTGATACAGCACTGGAAAGCTGAGATTCTCTTCTTTATGTCAATCTTTGAATTGTATAAATCGGATCAGTGGATCAAAAGTTATAAAACATTTAAGAGCAATACTTATTTTTAGCCGCGGGCGGCTGTCTCTGTCTTTAAGGGTTAAAACCGTTGATATGCAATTGTTCATGGTATGATAATCGTGCACGTTCAAATCGTGGTAGACCGTCATACCGGTATATTGTTACAACCCTAGAGGCAACATATAAATGCTAAAGAGAAGTGGACCAAGTACTGACCCTTGGGGAACACCATGACATAAAGGAGCAGTACGCGATCTGTGACCCCCCCACATAGGTAAACTGTGTCCAGAAAGATAGGATTTAAACCAATTCAGCACAATCCCATCCACACCAGTTATGAAGTCTGTCCAAAAGTATACTATGAGAAATTGTATCAAAAAAGCTAAATCTCTATTATTTTTTCGTTATTGGAGCAGTTTATGGCATGATATAATATAAGCACAACATATTTGAACCGAAAATAAATTCATTCACGTGTAATTTGCCACACAAAAGGGATGCGGAGTGTCACGGCTCATCTAACACACACACACACACACACACACACACACACACACACACACACACACACACACACACACACACACACACACACACACACACACACACACACACACACACACACACACACACAGAGTGAAGCATCTTCCCCTGTTCAAACAGTGCTGATGTCGTGCAGCAGACAGTGGTGTGTGTTTTTCTTTAATGACGAATGTGTGTGTGTGTGTGTGTGTGTGTGTGTGTGTGTGTGTGTGTGTGTGTAGAGATTGGACAGGCTGAAGGCTCAGTCTGAGCAGCTCTAGGCCAGTGTAAGGAGAGCCACATTACAGAGTCTGCTTCACTGCACACTTCAGCTGAAATCAGCTTTCAGACCACCAAATCAGACGCTTAGCATATTCTCAAACACACACACTGCTCACATTTCTGCTTCCGTTCTAAAACCTAGTAAGCTGCCTACCTAGAAAGTAGTATAAGGTGTTGTCTGATGCTGAATGCACAGTTGCACATGTGATACACATTTTGAACAGCTCAGCAAACACAAGGTTCATATTGTCTTTAAGTTATCAACATTGTCTGTTTTGGTAATGTAAAATCTTCCAAACAAAGCCAGAGGAAAACATTTGTGCATCTCAGGAGTAAGACTGTGGTGTTTTTAATGAATTAAAAGAGTCAATGATTCACTGATTCATTCATGAAGACAGTAACTTGCTTTCATTCTAAATGAATCAGCGGTTTTGAATGAATCTCTTAAATAAACAAATCATTAATTAAAATCACCAGATCAGATTCGTTAATGAAAAATGTTCTTCTCTTCTAAAACCTAGTGAGCTGCCTACCTAGAAGATATTTTAAAGTGTCAACTGATCCTAAATGCACAATAGCAAATGTGATAAATATTTGAACAGCTCAGCAAACACTGGTTCATATTGTCTACAAATGGTCAGTGTTTTGTCAATGAAAAAAGTTCCATACAAAGCCAGAGAAGAACATTTGTGCATCTCAGGAGTAACACTGTGGTGTTTTAAACGAATTAAAAGAGTCAATGATTCACTGATTCATTCATGAAGACAGTAAATTGCTTTGCTTCTGAATGAATCAGCTGTTTTGAATGAATCACTTGAATGTACAAATCACTGATTAAGACCACCAAATCAGACGCTTAGCTTATTCTCAAACACACACATACACAGCTAACATTTCTGATTTTGTTTTAAAACCTAGTGAGCTGCCTACCTAGACAGTATTTTAAGGTGTCGTTTGATACTGAAAGCACAAATGCAAATGTGATACAAATTTTGAACAGCTCAGCAAACTCAAAGTTCATATAGTCTAAAAATGCTCGAAAAATGGTCTGTTTTAATTATTTTTTTATCAATGAAAATACTTTCAAACAAAGCCAGAACATGTGTGCATCTCAGGAGTAACACTGGTGTTTTGAATGAATTAAAAGAGTCAATGATTCAGTGATTCATTCATGAAGACAGTAACTTGCTTGGCCTCTATATGAATCAACTGTTTTGAATGAATCACTTAAATGAACAAAATCAATGCTTAAGACCACCAAATCAGACACTAAGCTTATTCTCAAACACACACACATGGCTCGCTTTTCTACTCCTGTTCTAAAACCTAGTGAGCTGCCTACCTAGACAGTATTTTAAGGTGTCGTCTGATATTGAATGCACAATAGCAAACATGACACAACTTTTGAACACGAGCTTCATATTTTTCAAAAATGGTCAAAATTGTATGTTTTAATCGGATTTACCAATAAAAATGGTTCCAGAAAAATCCAGAGGAAAACATATTGGTGTTTTGAATTAATTAAAAGAGTCAATGATACACTGATTCATTCATGAAGACAGAAACTTGCTTGGCTTCAGAATGAATCAGACGTTTTGAATAAATCACTTGAATAAACAAATCACTCATTTAGACCACTACATTAGATGCTTAGCATATTCTCAAACACACACACACACACACACACACACACACACACACACTGCTTGCATTTCTGCTTCTCTTCTAAAACCTAGTGAGCTGCCTACCTAGACAATATTTTAAGGTGTCAACTGATCCTAAATGCACATAAGCAAGTGTGATACAAATTTTGAACACCTCAGCAAACACGAGGTTCATATCGTCTACAAATGGTCAGTGTTTTGTCATTGAAAATAGTTCCATACAAAGCCAGAGAAGAACACCTGTGTATCTCAGGAGTAACACTTTGGTGGTTTGAATGAATTAAAAGAGTCAATGATTCACTGATTCATTCATGAAGACAGTAACTTGCTTTGCTTCAAAATGAATTAGCCGTTTTGAACAAATTTCTTAAAGGAACTACTCGCTTATTAAGACGCCAGGCAGTTTTTACTTATTTTACATGTGTAAATGACTGTTAAATCATGTTTAGGAAGCCAATTTTAAAATACTTTTCTGCCAAAAAGTTAGCTTTATGTTAAAGTTGAATCCTGCCGGTCATATATAGTGTACTTGCCAGAATTATGCCAGCATAACAAACTATGGTAACACTAAAGTTTAGGTCACACGCATGCTGTTTTCCTAGGAGTTTAACAATTTATTGTCACTCTATTAAATGACAGCTAAGTAAAATTTAAAGTTAGCATTAAATATTGGAATGGCACATTAGAATTCATAAACACAGACTGTCAATGCACATGTTAATGCTTTAACTTTATTTGTAATTTTAGCTAATTATTAATATATGTAACCCAGTGTCACCATAAGGAAATTTTTTCTGAACTAAACGACACTAAAATGACACAAAATATTTGATTAAAACAGTATTAATATTGCTATAGTTATACGTTTTAATATTTAATTTATTTTAAAGATGACTTTTGTTAATATTTTACCTCCATTATTTTTCTTCAGATTATACAAATTTGGTATATTTATTAATTTGTTCAAACTTTACTTTATTTAATTTTAATATTTAATATATAAATAATAGGTTTTTATTATGTCATTGTAAATTGTATTTAATACAAGTATTTAATACAATAAATCACAGACGTGTGCATGCAGGAGGAAAACCTTGGAATGTTGTGCATTTAACATCAACAAAAACAACAACATGGTATTATTTTTAATAATATACATGTTGTTATTATTATTATTATTATTATTATTATTATTATTATTATAATACATGTTATTATTATTATTATTATTATTATTATTATTATTATACATGTTATTATTATTATTATTATTATTATTATTATTATTATTATTATTATTATTATTGTTATTATCATACATGTTATTATTAATAATATTGTTATTATTAGGATTATTATTATTATTATTTCTATTATTATTATATTTTTTCTAATATTATTATTGTTATTATTATTATTATTATTATTATTATTATTATTATTTTAATAATAATAATAATATTATTATTAATATTATTATTATCATTACTATTATTGTTATTACTATTAATATTATTATTGTTGTTGTTATTTCTGTCATTTAGTTTCTGTCAGTTTAGCAACAATTAGACTGCACTGGTTTTTTATCTACAATACCATGATTGCATCAAACTGCTTTTGCAAAATAGTCATTCTTCCTGTTTGTCTTCTACAGAACAAAACCGCTGAAGCCCAAAAGGAAAAGCTGTATTGGGACTCACCGTCTTTGCGATGGTAGGTAATCTCCACTTTGCGTTCCTCTGAGCCCAGCAAAGCCTGAGCCACCTGAGCAATCTCATGCCTCTTGGTTTGCTCGCCATGCAAGAAGTCGCATGTACAAGGTTTCTGCATCACATCCGGCCGCGAGAATCCAGTCATCTCACAGAAACCGTCGTTACAGTAAATAATTGCACAGTTCGGGACCCGGGCATTGGCTATGATGAACTTCTTATCTGGAAACAACACATAAAATGTAGTCAATCAATGGTATTACAGCTACACTGGAATGAACAAGGAAACCCAACCACAAATCAGAAAAAATGAGACAGTATGAACAACCAAATAAAAAGAAATAAGTGATTTCTAAATGTACTTTAACATGTATTTCATTGCAGACAACACAGCAAACATTAGTTAACCTGTTCCTTTATTATTTTTATTTTAAACAAGTATAAACATTTTTGTTCTTGCAACACATTTCAAACAATGTGAAACCGTAAAGCATTTACCACTTTGTAATGTTGCCATTCCTGTTCACAACACTTAAAACACATTTAGGGACTAAAGACACTGGCTAATGAAGTGTTTCAGGTGTAATTCTGTCCCATTCTTCCTGCAAACAAGTGTTAAGGTGGGCAACAGCACAGGGTCTTCGTAGTCACATTTTGCACTTCAAAGCGCGCCACACATTCTCTATTATAGACAGGTCGGGACTGCAGATGGGCCAGTCAAGTACCTGTATCCTCTTCCTCCACAGCCAGGACTTTGTAATGTGTGCAGACTGTGGTTTTGCATTGTCTTGTTGAAATATGCATGAGCGTCCCTGGAAAAGAAGGCAGCATATTGTGCTCCAAAATCTCAATGTGCTTTCCAGCATTAATGGTGCATCACAGAAGTGCATATTACCTTTGCCAAGGCAGGGTATATGCAGGAATCCTAAAGGTAATTTCAATACTTTTTAAAGACTTTTTAAAGTCCTTCTCAGAATATTTTAAGACTTCATTTAAGATCAAGCTCTAATCAGTATCAAACCTTTAACTTAATGAACAGTTGCAGTTAAATAAATCAATGGAGCACAACCACACAACAGAACTCAGATAAGCTCTGAAGAAACAAAGCTTGAAAGAATGAATTACGCGGCTGTTTTCAGCGACAGGCTTCAGCCATTGTTTAAACTCGTCTTTCTCCAACCAGGAGTATGCAAACTTATATTTTCTCATTTCGCTGTCGTTTCGCTCTATGGTTTCGCTACATGTGGAAAGCGTCACATCATCTTCCCACGTTTGTCGCAAATAACATGACATCACCTGGACGGACGCACCCCGGCCTGAACCAACCGCGTGGATTGAGCAAGCCATTGTGAATATTAGAAGGAAAATAAATATATTTAAGCTCTTTTGGAGTCAAACACTTTGGACAACGCTTGAACAAAATTTAAGACCTTGTAAAAGCGCGAATAAGACTTTTTTTTTATACCTTTTAAGGCCCTTAATTTTCTCATAATTTGATCATAATTTATCAAATTTTAATACTTTTTAAGACCCCGTGGACAACATGCAAGCGCACGGACACAACCTTATACCATGACAGACCCTGGCTTTTGGACTTGTTGTTGGTAACAGTCTGGATGATCTTTGTCCTCTTTGGTCTGGAGCACATGTAACAGGATTATTTTGGATATATTGATTTCACTATATTTTCCTCCTGTTTACTTAGTTCATATAAAATTGTTTTGTGTTCACAATATAAATGTAAAAAGAGTCTGTAAAGTGACAGTGGTTTCACCTCTTCTCCCCCCCTTGGGTTAACGTCAAGGTGGTATAGTCCAAGCAGCCATACCTGTTGCACTATTGCTTGAGCAGTCTTTTCCTCCTTTTCCTTGAACTAAGGAGGTATGCTCTACCTATTCCAAATTGAACTTGGCTCTGGCCATAATTAACACACACACAAATGCATATTTAAGTTTCATTTTAATCATTTGTTATATTTACTGATATAAAAACAGTTTGTTATATTGTAGAATGTTATTTTTGTTGACAGTATACATTTAATGTAATGAGCCGAAGCTGCCGATCTGTCATAATAACATTCTCTGTGCAGACTCAAAATGGTGTCCTCTCGTCATTCACTACACAACGCAGAGCAAAAGAGAGTACGGTTACACACACAGTGTGCCCCCCCCCCCCCCCCCCAAAAAAAAAACCTGAAATACTGATTCATCTGACCACAGTACACTATTCCACTGTGTGATGGTCCATCACAGGTGCCTCCAAGCACAGAAAAATGCTTCTGGACACTGTTAACATAGGGCTTCCTTTTATCACTTCCATTTGTGAATGTAACTTTATGTTGTTGTACTTGACAAAGGTTTGCCAAAGTAGTCCTGAGCCCATGTGGTGATATGGCTTTTAGATGAATGTGGATTCTTGATGCAGTGCTGCCGGAGGGATCAGAGATCAGGGTTCAGCTTAGGCTTGCGCCCTTGTCTTTTACGGACTAAAATTTCTCCAGATTCCATGAATCTTTTAATGATGTTCTGCACTGTTGAAGGTGAAACATCCAAATGTCTTCCTCTCTTTCGTTGGGAAACATTTTTCTCACAAACTTGTTTGTCAAACTGGCGATCCTCAGCCCACCTTTGCTTCTAAAGGACTTGATCTTTTATGTATGCTGCTTTTATATCAAATCATAATTACAATCACCTGTCAACATCACCTGTTTCAAATCTCATCATTATTTAACCAGTTTATCTGATTACAAGCCATAAACTGCTCCTGTCCCAACTTTATTTGGAAAGTGTTGCAGGTCTTAACGACAGGAAAGGATATATATTTACAAATGAACCAAAGTTGACCAGACAAAACATGGAATATTTTGTGTTCATATTGTCTGCAACGAAAATGTAGAAATCACTACTCTCTTTTTATTTGGATTTTCCATACAGTCCCAACTTTTTTTGATTTGGAGTTGTAACATTTTAACAGTACAACATATATATATATATATATATATATATATATATATATATATATATATATTTGCAAAACAACAGACATTTATATAGTTTGTAAAGTTTGCAAAAACAGATTTAATAAAAAAAGTAATACCAATCAATAAAGGGAGAAAAACTAAATAAAACATATAGGGCCCTATACACCCAGCGCAATGTGGCGCAAAGCGTGACGCAATTGTTGTTTGCTAGTTTCAGCTTGGCACAAGAGTTGTTTTGACGTTTTGCAGCACGCAGTTTAAATAGCAAAGTCATTTGCGCTCATTTGTGCGCCTATAGGCGTTCTGGTCTAAAAAGAGAGGCGTGTTGGGATGTATTGCTGGCGCGTTGCTATTTTGAGAAACTATATTAGATTTTTCAATAGACCAGAACAAAGCTGGTCTATTGTCCAGCGCAGAGCGTGTTAGCTGTGCGCTTCGCTTACATACTGCTTAATACACACAAGATGAGGGGCAATACGCAAATATCTTTACATATAAAAAATAATTACAATATTAAAGATATATGTAGGATATATTAAGTATATATAGGATATAAATATAAAGGATTAAAATATTACAAAACATATTATTTTCTACCCTAAATAAATATAAAAACAATACTTTCATGCCTTTTTCATCTCGGGGGGGCTTTTTCAGTTTTTTCATAGCTATTCGCTTTTGTATAATGTTATCATTAGCCCCTTTCACACAGTGATACCGGTAAATATCTGGAAAATTTCCGGAACGACTTTACCGGTATATTGAAAAAAGCGCTGTTCACACAGGCGAGGACGTTACGGAATTTTTCCGGAAAAGAGCATTCACACATCCATTCCAAAATACCGGTAAATTCTGACATCATTCACCACAAATGAGCTTTAAACGGCTGCACTTGTGTTTGTAAACATTTGACTAAATTACAAACTCTGTGGATGATCAATATTGTGAACAACTTTCGCAGGATCACTTTCGCATGTCGAGATGTTCATAATATGTGCGTGTGCAGGCGCTCACAGGCGCACGCAAAGCTTGAAGGTAAACAAACAACGGCTTATCATAAGCATCTCATCGATGATTATTTACACAGTTGGCATTAAGAAGAACATATAAACGTGATCTGACTAACTTCTAGCAGCTAAATGTGTCTGGAAAAACATTCAAAGGCTTTTATTTTCACAAACCGCGCGGACGTAAATGCGTCTGACTGTTGTGATTGGCTAAAGCAGACGTCTCACGTCAGCACGTTCTAGACGTGCACGCGCTTATTACGGCAATCTTCCTTCTGCATTCACACAGCGCAGCATTCCGACAAATTGCCGGTAATGTTACAACTTCTCTTTCCGGAAAATAGCCAGAACGAATTTACCGGTATATTTCAAAAAGGACCTGTTCACACATACAACTTTTCCGGAAAATTGCCGGCAATTTTCCGGAAAAGTTGTATGTGTGAAAGGGACTATTATTAGCAGTATTATTTATTATATCTATATTTATATTTGTTTTATTAAAAACAAGCTTAGATTTGTCCACCTGTCAGGTTTTAGACCATATGGGGCACTGCATGTGTGTTTGGATATAACTCAGGTTTTTGAACAAACTTCGTTATTATTGTTCATTTATTTGTTTGCTGGAAATTAGAACTGAATTTAGAAATAGTTTTGAAACAAATATTTGCGCTTAACAAACGAAATTAATTATTTATAAGCTGGATAAAAGCGTCTGCTAAATGACTAAATGTAAATGTAAATGTAATTGAATTGCGTACAAGGTTTCCCTATCTAAGAGTGAAAGTGAAAGTTAATAATTTATCTCTCATTCTCGCGCTGTAGATGCTCTTTAACTGTTTTCTTGCTAGTGAAATGCTCAGTTTTTCACACTTACACTTACTTTACATCAAGTAAATAGCAAATGCACCATGGCGCGACGCAACTGGCTCTTAAAGGGAATGGGAGATGAGACTCCGATTGGTTTATTCTCAAAACACACCTATAACTCATTAAGAAAATAAGCTCAACCCTTTAAATAAGTATATAAAATGTGTGTGTGTGTGTAAAAGAGTAACAATAAAAAATAAAAAAGATAATAAGAAGAAGAAGAATAAAAAATGAATAGATGAATAAGCCCAAGATCTTTTTGATGTCAACAAAGCAACTCCACAGCTTATATAATGCGTGCCTAAAAACCTCACATGCCATAAAAATCCTCTAAATGCGCTCGAGCAGTCTAGATTTCACTGTGTGCATGTGCGTGTGCGTGTGTGGGTAATCTTCAGTATGTGGATGACTGAGAGCATCATTTGTCTGAACATACGTGCTGTCATTCATGCATTTCAGTGCTATCACCGCTGTGTATAAACAGTCCTCTGACAGATGCGTGTGAAGTGTAAACACTACAAAAACCACAATGCTGAAAGACTCCTAACTGTCATCTGCCAGTCTCTCTGTTGAGCAGAAAGCCTTTGTTTCTCATTTCTTTTCATGCCCTAGAGCTTGAAGTGCCGAAATGCACATTAAGTATTCATAATTACCTTTTTTTTGTAGTAAAACTGTCTAAATGAGCATAAAACTGTGCTAAACAATACTCACAAACATCTCCTCCTTTGCTAAAATACAATTATAAGGTGTCTCTGTGTGTGTGAACCCACATAAAAATATAATATAGTGATTTATGGTAAATACTTTAGTGTTTTTGAACCATACTATAGTAAATTATGCATCTGTTGTGGTGATTCTGTAGTAGCTATTGCTATGGTACTACAACAACTATAGTAATGTAAACAAATTACCCAACACTGCTGTTTTCAAGAACTATATTTAAGTCATATTATACACCACAGTTTGCTGTAGTAAAAACTGAGGTATACTACACTGTAAACAAATGCTGGGTTCCACACAATTGTATTTGTGTTGGGATAACATGAAGAAATTAAGTTAACTTATTAGTTTTTACAAATATAAGTGGATTGATTATAAAATAATTAAGTTGCCCCCCAAAAAATCTCAATAATTGTGTTGTTTCAGATCATTTTAACTTAGTAGTTTGAACAAACAGCAAACATCATTTTGAGTGTACAGTATTTATTACAGTTGATCAGTTTATCATAGTTAATATGCTGCAGAATTCATTAACAAAGTGTAAATATTGCACTAGACCTTGCACTTAAAAGGTTCCACAATATTAGAATTTTACAGTCAAAATTACATTTCTGAAAATGACCTGTTTTCTTTTTTTCAAAGGATTAATTATGATTTTGAGCAAAATGCTAAATTTTAAGTTATGTTCAATCAATTTTACTTACCTAATTGTTTAAGTACAAATAACCTAGTACTGTTTTCTATATATATATATATATATATATATATATATATATATATATATATATATATATATATATATATAAATATAACTACAAATCTGTAGTTTGTGTGTGTGTGTGTTTGTGTTTGTGTGTGTGTGTGTGTGTGTGGTGCGTGCGTGTATATATATATATATATATATATGTATATATATATATAGGCTGATTTGTATTGCTATATTTTAATATTTACAACACTTGTGAATTGTGTTAATAACTAGTAAACTGTGTAAACTGGTGTACTTCAGTAATATAGCAGATAAGTAAAACTGTAGTATTTGTATGAAGAGTTTAGATGCAAAAACCTCTAAATGCCATCTGAAAATTCCATAGAAAAATGAACATTTTTCTTAAACTCCTTTGTATAAGTGGAGATAATTCACTTTAAAGAACAGGAAAAGGACTTATTCTTAGCCATAAAAGTGATATTACTGAACATACACACAGAAGCCTGATAAAAATCCTCATTTTAGAGGAACTTTTCAGATAGCATTTAAGTTTTTGCATCTAAACTCTTCATATATAAATACTACAGTTTTACTTATCTGTTATATTACTGAAGTACACTAGTTTACGCAGTTTACTAGGTATTAACACAATTCACAAGTGTTGTAAATATTAAATACAATTCAGCCTATCACACTTTAGTACAGTTCAGAAACATCAGTATGTAGGCTGCAGATTACTAGTATGAATGTGACATATACACTACATAACAGCGCCTTATCTATCACCTGAATAATATGGAGAACAAAGAAAGTGATTTTGCAATACTCACTCTGTCCCTCGAATTTCCGTATGATTATCCCAAGAAATGTATTCTGAGGAGCGACATGACCTCTCCGCACAGGCATGATTATTACAACAATCTTCAGCCTTTCGTCCGCATAAAGAAAAACCTCCGCAAAGCTCCTGAAAGTTATCTGCGCATCTGAACGGCAGCTCTTTGTCCGCGGTGACGGCCGATCTCTCCACTTTCCGGGCGCTTTTGTTGGCTCTGCGCGCTCACAGACGGCGGTTGTGCTCACATGCGTGTCGAAACCTTGGCTGAACTCCTCGAAACCGACACCGACGGGAATCGGTGATGAGGGAGAGTCGGCTGAGGCTCGGATGGAGACGCATCGCTGTCCGCGCACGGGGGAGTCCGATGTGGTGCTGAACGGGAACGGAAGACTGTGTTTGTGCTGTGATCCGCCTCTAGGGGCTTTAACGGAGCTCCGCCGCCCCGGGCGAAAACTAAACTCAGCCCGGCGCACAGGCAGCCTCGGCGGGGCTCATTTCGTCGATCATACGTAAATAAAAGGGGTTGAGTTGTCAAGTGAAGAGTCTGCACTGGCTTTCTGAGCACACACACAAGGTGTAAAAAAAGTCGAAGAGGCGTGTGTTTATGAAGGTTTTACAGCTACACTAAAGTAAAATTATTCTTATTTTAAGCTTTATTTTATATGTATCTCTTATTTAACTTATTGAATTTTGTTTTTCTTGTTTACTGTTTTATCCCCCTGGCATCCTCCATGTCCCTTCTATAGTTTATACTGTTTCATTATGCTGTAATAATTTACTGTTAAAAAAACATATATATATATATATATATTCATATTCAACTAAATTGTTTAGGGTAAGTGGTTGCAAACAAGTATGGGCTGAATGTAAACTCTTATACATTCATACTGTAAACATTTGTTTAAATCCAGCCTATATAAATTGCTTGCAACCACTAACCTTAAAAAAGTTTTCGTAAATCCAGCAGGCCCCCCCAATTTTTCACATAGGCTACATGAGCTAATTTTTCATATTTTGACTGCCATGCCATAATAAATTGTAAAAATTACCCTTAAAAGAAGACTTTACACTCTCAGAAATTTTTTTTTTTTTACATTTTAGGGTACAAGTGGCCCGTCACTGGGGCGGTACCCTAAATGGTACAATTTTGTACCCTTTATTTAGAGGTACAAAGCTGTACCTTCTACATTTGTACCATTTAAGGGACAATTTTGTACCCCCAAAATTGTAAACACTGAAGGTACGAAAATGTACCTTATTATATTATATAGCATTTTCAGGGTACTAACCCAGGCATTTTGATCCTTTGGTGACTGCATGCACACATAAATAAATAAAATGTTTGGGTTCACAGATGTCCATTTTTGTTTAGAAATGCAGAAATACTGTTTTAAGATTTATAAACACATTATACAGGCTAATACATTTGATTAAGTCCAAAGTATTTGTCTTCATACTTCATACGTATTTGTCGCCACTGCCTCGCATGGTTCAGGATTGGTAGAGCTACGCATCGATGAATTTGCTCTTCAGTGTTTGAACTCTCAGTAATGATTAAATCACACTGAACTGAGCTGAACTGAACTGAACTGAACTTAAACACTAAAACCTGAACCACACTGTTCCAGTTACTATGACCATTTATGTGAAGCTGCTTGGACACAATCTACATTGTAAAAGCGCTATAGAAATAAAGCTGAATTGAACTGAATTGAATTCATAGCCAGAATACTCATAATAAATGATTTGTCTTCAACATTTTCTTTGTATTTCAGAATGAAGGCAGAGTTTCTCTATAAATTGCTTCAACAGTGCAGAAAACCAAAAATGTCAGTAGCCTCTTCCTCAGCATCAGTAGATTACTCCTCAACTTCTTCAAGTGGAGTTGTAATTTGTTGTAACACAATACGTTTATGCTTTTGGTGAACATGTAAGGCACTCACAACTGGAAAATGTTCTTTGATAGTCAATAATCACTAGGACCACATATTTTTTTAGGAAAAATTTAATTATTAAAATATTTAATTCAATCAATACTTTATACTTTTAAATTATGTATTGTAGTATTAATGTTAAGTATTAATACATTTTAATTAGTGTTATATGGTGTCTTTATCTTATCATGAGCTGAGGGTACAATTTTGTTCCTATATGTAAACAAAATAATATAATTGTACCTTTAAAGGTGCCAAATTGGTCCTAAACGGTACAATTTTGTTGCCGAATGTGCTATAAAAGGTAGAAAAATTTACCTTTCAAAATTAAATCTGGACGTTTGTACCTTTATAGTTCATTACAGTCACTACTTTATTTATTTTTTTCTTGTCTGGGGATTAGAAACTGTAATTCCTGTCCAATCAAATCACACACAGAAGGTAAATCATGAACTACCTCAAGACATGGGCGATTTATAATTACAGTAAACTGTTTGGAAGCATTAAAAGTGTCCAAGAAGACGTCCAAAATTATCACACACAATGCACCAGAGACTCATTCACTAATGAGAAACTGTATGATGACCGATTTGGCCTTAAACACCCAACAGGCACAGGATGTCAACATGACGTCGGATTGACGTTGTACCCCAACATCATGGGGACGTTGCATTTTATTTGGAAATAAAAATCAGGTTTACATCAGAACCTAATGTCAGGCCGACATCAATGTCCAACGTTCAACCTAAAATCAACCAAATATCAACATCTAATGATGTTACAGGTTGATGTTGTGTGGATGTTACCACTATGACGTCATGTTGGATTTTGGATGCCATACCTGACGAATAAATGTCTGTATTTGACGTCAATATGACGTTGCTTTAAGACACTGACACAATGTTAGATTTTGGTCACTTTCTAACAACCTAAAATCAACCAAATATCAACGCCATTTGACGTCATTATTGGACATTAAAAGAACGTTGTCCTTAGATGTGGGCTAGACCTTGAATTTTGGTCACCTGACATTGCGACCTAAATCTAACCTAATATTAACGTCTTATGACATTGTGTGCCTGCGGGGCATAACTAAATGCACTACAGATGTGTTACCCATACACCCATCCACAAATTACATGTAAATGCATCAGCTTTTTACAGCATATAATACTCACTACTCTTGAGTATTTTTGAAAGGTCTACTTTTTACTCGTACTTTGAGTAATATTTACAACAGACACTTTTACTCTACTTGTACTACATTTTTAGGCAAGTAATGGTACTTTTAGTTAAGTATGATTTTTCACTACTCTTTCCACCACTTCTTCAGAGTGACTGAGGAGAGTTAAATGTGCTGGCTACGTTTAAATGACAATTGAATGTAAAACGTTTTACATTGGTTAAACTTACGAACTTCAGGTTCACCAGCTGCCTTAAAAAATGTGAGCCAACTCAACTTGGAGATGTTCTTTATTTCTGCTTAAGATGTTGAGTTTTATTAGTTAAATATATTGTGAAACTCAACATCAACAAGATAAGTTGACTCACATTTTCAAGGCAGCTGGTGAACTTGAGTTTGTAAGTTTAACCCAGTGAAACATTATACAGTGTGGCCACATTTAAATGACAATAGGCTACAGTCTTTAATTTAAAACTTTGACAGATTTATATTTGGTAACACTTTATTTTGATGGTCCAATCGGTTATTAGTCTGTCTTCATAATGTTAAAACTGATCCTTCAACAAACATTTACTGACTATAAGAAACTTTGCAAGTACATGTCAACTTACACTAACTCTAACCCCAACCTAACAGTCTACTTATAATCTACTGAGAATTAGTTGGCATGTAGATGCAATGTAACTTAAATTCAGCAAATTAACTATTAAAACAAAATGTGACCTTATGTTTATTTTTTATTTTTTTCTAATGATATATGATGTAATACATTTTTACGTAAAGCTGAATAGTGACATCCAAACACATCTTCAAGATGGAGGGAATTAAAATTTTCATCAACAACACTTGAAGTAAAATCACGGTAATTATTGCTTGATAAGGAAATGCATTTATTCTACGTCATTTCCAAACATGCTGTACTTTTAAAGATGTTTTTAAAAACCAAACAAAATGAAGGTGAATAAGAGTGTTTTGTCTACATGAAATGCGAGTATCAATTCAAAGCGAATAGGTGAAGTTATTTTTATTTTTTCTAAACAAACTAGAAATTTCATCTTCACCACTGTCATTTCCATCACCACACACATTTTCTACAAATATTTAAAAAGTTCTCATCACACATTAAAGTGTATTCACAATGTATATGTGTATGCTCTATTTAATATACAGTTTCAATTTATTTATTTTCTAATAAGCTCTCAACCAAATTAATATTACATTTTAGAGTGTGACAGGTGTACAATTCAACATTTGGTCCTAAGGGACTATTTTATTTCATTGACAAATGTATAATTATTAGATATATTGTGGAAAGATTGGTTAAACTAGATACAAAAATAATTTTAGACAATATTAATCTAAAAAACAAACAAAAATTACACAGGACTAACTCAAATGATTGATCGGTGCTCTTTGGGTAAGGGATTCATCAAAACATCAACAGAAATCAGTCCAAAGTACATTAAAATTGTGGAAAATTTAAAAAGCCTTTATTCACATGGCTAAATCTTAAAAAAACGTACACGTTTTGGCAAGGAACTGCCTTCATCAGCCCTGATGAAGGCAGTTTCCTGCCAAAATGTTTTAAGATTTAGCCATGCAAATAAAGGCTTTTTAAAATTTCCACATTTTTCAAATGCCTTGGACTGATTTCTGTTGTTGTTTTGATCTTAGACAGTGTTGGACTGCCATAATTTATTTCATTTTGAAATAAGTGAAGTTTCTTAAACTAATTTCAAGAGGAGCACGCGATAGGATTGACTACAGCTGATCCCTATCACTAATCACTAACTAGCCAATCGGATCACTCTAAATTCATTATAAATATCCAGCATACCCCCCCCATCCATCCCTTCTCCCTCCTCCTCAACTCTAAGTTCGGGCGACACGATGGCTCAGTGGCTAGCACTGTTGCCCCACAGCAAGGAGGTCGTTGGTTCAAACACTAGCTGAGCCAACCGACACTCTCTGTGTGGAGTTTGCATGTTCTCCCCGTGTTCGCGTGGATTTTCCCTGGGTGCTCCGGTTTCCTCCCACACTCAAAAAACCATGCAACAAAAGTTTAAAGTCACAAGTTAGCGGTCTATTCTTGGGAAGTTATCGAGAACTACCTGATCTCATATCCCTCCTAATGCTTATTGACCAGGCGGGAGCCTTGGGCTCATCTATCTCCGAGCTCAGCGTTCTCTCCCGGGACAGCATGCCAAACTTGCTTAAATAGTCAAGCATTATCTAAATGTGAACTCTTAAAAAGCTGTATATTGATATGTGGTGGAGTTGACATTTGTTCAGTTCACGATGGAAAAAACGTTAAATATGAACAACGTCTGGGTGACGAAGTGGTGCAGTGGGTAGCACGTTCGCCTCACAGCGAGAAGGTCGCTGGGTTGCTG